GTATCTGGGGCAGTGTGCTGAACTGGTCCCCAGCTGGCTGCAGTGCAGCCTCCCCATCCCTGCTGAGCCAGGCTTCACCTGAACAGTAACCCCAGGGAGGGTGGCAGGAGTGTTACCCTTGCCTGGGTCACCGGCTTGTGTCAGCAGCCCCAAAAACTGGGGTACTGCCTGGACAAACCTCTTGCAAAACATGGTGTGGGCTTCAGTGCGCAGGAGGGGGGACCCCAGGAGAGGCTGGGCTGACCCAGAGGGATCCTGGAGGTGAAGCCAGGCTTCACCTGAACAGTAACCCCAGGGAGGGTGGCAGGAGTGTTACCCTTGCCTGGGTCACCGGCTTGTGTCAGCAGCCCCAAAAACTGGGGTACTGCCTGGACAAACCTCTTGCAAAACATGGTGTGGGCTTCAGTGCGCAGGAGGGGGGACCCCAGGAGAGGCTGGGCTGACCCAGAGGGATCCTGGAGGTGATGGGCACGAGCTGCTGTGGTTTGGGCAGGTGCTTCTGCGTGGAGTGTCTGGAGGTGCTGGTGGGCCGAGGGACGTCGGCCAAGGCGAAAGAGCAGGAGCCCTGGAACTGCTACATGTGCCAGCCCCAGAGGAGCTATGGGGTGCTGCAGCGCCGGCAGGACTGGAACACGCGCCTGCAGGACTTCTTCACCAGCGACAAGGGGCAGGAATACGTAAGGGCTGCGGCCACATGAGCCCAGAGCGCTGGGACTGGGGCAGAGGCTGCAGAGGGCAGGGCAAACGGCTTGGGATTCCTCCGTTCGCCCAGGGTACTGCTGGGCTCTTGGCCAAGCAGATGATCCCCTGAAGGCAGAGGTGATGCTTGTGTTGCAGCACTGCCCGGAGCTGGGCCTTCATTGCTGGCTTCATTGCAGGCTGGAACCAAAATCTACCCAACAGTCCCGCCAGCGCAGAGGAGACCTATTCGAGTACTCTCTTTGTTTGCTGGCATAGCCACAGGTGAGGTGCTGGAGGAGCAGCACTACATGTGGGGGGGAATTGCTTCATGGCCTCAAACCTGTCTCTGAAAGCTTGGTGGGGAAAAGGGGGTGAAGGGCAGGGGGATTCCCATCAGAATGGGATGATGAGGGCAGGGGCTCCTATT